TTAAAACTCATCATCTTGCCTACTTAACTGACGTCGTGGCTTCAAGTGTAAGTAGCATGGGTATAATCCTTCACTGATTTCATGAGATTGCTATGTTAATATTTCATTTTGCTGTATCGTCATCTCTTATACTCTTATGCTTGATAATAGGGAGGGTCTTGCATTTAATCTTTTTTCCTTGCTACTAGTTCATCAAGCTTTGATAATTCTGGGAGTTCTCTTCTGAAAATTCCTTATTTTACAGTATCCTTAGGTGTTTATGTTATTAATGGATCTGTGGGAGTTTTCTCTACTACATTTAGGTAACATAAGTGCTAATAATGTTAGTGCAAATTGTATTAGATTCCTGCAAGGAAAAAAAGAAGGACCGTGATAAAATCTCCACAGGAATGTGATGTATGTTTCAGGAATGCTTTTCTCTAGTCTTAGTGCTTTAGACTTAATTTTGTTTTGATCCTCAAAATAAATATCCCTCTCCTCAACACACCCCCGCTCCAACCTTCCCATTCACTGGTGCTAAATCTTTTTTCCAGGGTGCCTGTTCTTATTTTCATAGCCTTTATGCCTTGTGCCTGGAGAACTCTTTTGATCCTACCATCAAAACAGCTTTTCTGAGGCTGACCAAGCCCTTCTCTCTTTTCATGTTTAATAACAGAAGTAAATGAACCCAGATAATTAGATTTTAAATAAAAATTGTCATATGTAAGTATTCCGGTTTTTTTCTTCTTCCTTTTCTTTTTTGCACTTTTGGTGACATAAAGGAAAAAGGAAAATTATTATATAAAAGCAAAACAAAACAAACAAAAAAAACCCAAACAAAACCCCCTCAAACATAAAAGAAACAAGCAATGAAATTATTTCTCTTTTGAAGAACTTAAAAACTGAAAAATCAGGCTATGTATATTACTGAAGCAGTTACCTTCCTCAATCTGTAAAGCACTGGTTAATGAACATTGTCTTGTTTCTGGTTCTTCATCTACTGAAGTTTCCCTTTCTCATTTGTTGAAATTTCTAGGATTGTTGTTGCTACTACTTTTTTTTTTTTTCTTTTTTAACCTGAAGAACTGGAGACAATGTCTTTTATCAGTCAGGTTGACTCTGTATTTTCAAAACTTCATTACAGCTGACTGCCTCCTTGGGATTCTTAGTTCCTTCCAGGCCATCCCACCACCTTTTCAGGCTGCACTCCTTGAAGTCTCTTGCATGACTGTTTGATTCTCCCTTTTTTTTTTTTTTTTTTTTTTTTTTTCTTTGTGAGCCCTCTTGTTAGGGGATATTGTACTCTCTTAACAGGAGCGTTCTTCCTTGCTAAAAGGACATGTTCTACTTGACTTGAGTGCTGTTATGGTATAACATCCTGAGAGATGTGTTTCTTAGAGCCTTTGCTAATAAGGTGTGTGAGGGACAGATACTGAGTGCCAGCTTCTCGGTACATCAACTACTGACTTATCTTTAATCTTGTACCTTTTGGATGCCACCATGCTGTTTGATGTTGCAGTGGTGTCGCTGCAGGCTGTGTAAAGTGAGAAGGCAACGTATAAAGCTGTCTTCTCTCTGGTAAGGTTTCCTTGTAGTAACATCTGCTGTATCTGTTTGCCTTAGGCAAGTTATGGTTAGAGGGAGCAGCTCAGAAGCAACATTGTGCCTTACTGATCGAAGTCTGAACTGCTAAATTTTGTAGAAATTACTTTGAGAAGGACCATGGCCACTATCAACAGGCTTATCACAATCTGGCCTGCTAAACTACTTCAATGCTCGGTACCAAGGCTAAGATACACCCTGCAGGTGAATAGCCACCTGTGACAGAGCTCAGAGCATCTGTCCCTCTGCTCCAAAAGGTGCTTCAGAAAAATCTGGTAGTATAAAGCTCATTTTGCTCTCTTATTGAGAACGGGATCACTTATTCTGAATTTCCAGATGATGTTGTTTTGGCAGTGCAACAGCCGTGCTCAGCTACCAGAATTCCTTGGGTTTCTTCCTGAAAGACTTCTGTCTCCAAAACAATGTTTTCCATGCTAATAGCCTGGACGATGGTCAAAGGTTTTTCTAGCAGAGCTGGCTGAAAAGAATGCAGACTATTTAAAAGTCCATCTGAGACCATTTGCTACTTTGACATTCTCCTATGCATGGATTATTTTTTAACCAAATGGGAAGTCGATTTATAAAATTTTGGACCGTGGGTTTTGCTTGAATGTGAATGAGTATCAGAAGCTTTGACTACTCTGAATGGGAGGGAGTCTTTTCTGCAGAAAGGAAGATTGGCTCCCACCAGTCTTTTAAACACCTTTTTCAGCCCTTCTGGAAGATTGTCCTATCTTAAGTTGTTTAATCTGGTGATTCATATTTTTTGTTGTTTGGTTTTGCATTTTGTGTTGTTTTTTTTAAAGCAGTTGACTGTGAAGAAAATGGGGGGGGGGGAAGTGAAAATATTAATCTAATAATTTAATATTCTCCTGCAACTCAAATCATCAATGATACTGAATGTGAGGCAAAGAACAGAGAAGATACAGGCATGTCTGAAAAAGCTTATTGTGAAGGCAATAAAACTAAGAGTGGTAATTTCAGCTCATGAGACTTGGAAAATTAAGGTCCACTACTATATTTCCATCACATGTGCCATTTTCTCTGTGAAAGACGTGAATTTTCAGGAAGTTTGATCTACCTATTTTCCCAGAGATTATCTGAATGTTGAATATAAGGTGGTTGAAGAGAAACCTAGTATTTTTATCTTAATACTACTTCCAGATTGTGTCTGTACTTTTTTGTTATACATGTTTTAAGAGATTTTTTTTCTTCTTTAGTAATGTGTAGATGCTTACTTCTGTGTTTCATTCTTCTCTCAAGGGAAAAGCTTCTTCCAGAGCAATGTCTGCTAGATGGGTTAAGGTACAAATTCCTCAAACCTGAGAGTGCTAGTTGTTCTTTTTTGCCGATTGCTAGAGGTCATCTTTTTTCTTGCCCTCTCCCCTCCACCCCCACCCCAAGTATCTTCCTTTTCTTGGGGCAGCAAAAGATGAGATATTACTACAGAATTCTGTAAGATTACTTACAGACTCATCTTAAAGGGAAGCTGCTCTCACAAATCCTTGGGGTTTTTTGATCCCATGTAGTAGAAGCCATAATGCTTTTTTCCTTCTACATCTCTGAAGGCAAAGGGCATACAGTAAAGAAAATAATCACATTCTCCCTTTTTTTTGTATTTACAAATAAGTTGAGAAGAAAATGTCAAAAGCAAAAGTATGCTAAATAAAACTTTGATTTCTGTACTCTTTTTGTTGGTTTAGTTTGTTATCGTTTACTGTTGTGGTAAGCACAATATTATAAAAAACATCCTTGAAATGCCTATTTTAAAACTGTCACTGTACTGTAGCATATATGTGCACATAGAGTTAATTTGTTTCACTTTATCTTGACATATTTAACGTTATTTGTGAAATGTGATCTAATTAATACTGTTTTTTCAAGGACTCATTTATCCCTTTATAGTAACACGCTGCTATAATGCAAGATTTTAAGAATCCTTTTCAGATAGTGTAATAAAGGTTCTGTGAGATTCCTTGACTTTACTTGTTTTTCTTCCAAATTTCCTTTTGAGTAATACCTTACAGTGGAGAACATAATAATGTTATCTACCACTGATGGGGTTAAGGGGAGAGATATTAAAACCCCATCTTTTGAGAGGTGTCTCTTCCTCATTCGTTGAACCCTGGTCTGAGATGAAATGGCTGTCGGACAATTAAGGAGACGTGCATGGTAGAGGAGAACCAAACTTCTTGCTTTTTAAGCATGAAGAATAAGCAAATGCATTAAGTCCTGATGATGCTTCTTACTAATGGATGGTTTAATGTGGGGGTTGTCTTGGAATACTTAAAATATTTGAAATAGTTATTAACAAGTAGAGTTCTTATTTTCATTTCTTTAACTCATAATTACAGGATCTTCTGCTGAGTTCTTTTTTTCCTTTTGAAATTCATGTGTATTTGTAGTATGCTAACTTAATCTACAGGTTTTTTTACAAGTAAATCTGATTTGCAATTGAAAAATTTAAGTGCTGTTCCATGAAGTTTCTCAGCTATATTTGCATGTTTCTCTTTGTTCATTTTGTCTTGCATTTTATTGAATCATTGCTGCTTATCCCTGTAATGTACCCGCTGTTCGGGGCAAAACTCTGTTAAATGTAAACTTATCAAAAGTCTGAAGTGTTTGACTTTTAAACTATTATGTTAATCATAAAGCAAAGAATTTGGAAACAAATGTGACTATTGTGTATCTACATTTTATATCTTCCAGTTCTTTAGGCTATTTTCTTAAATAAGCAAATAAATACTACTTACATGGAGAAAATATTCTTTATAGAATATTTCTAAAACTAACCACAGTATTTAATATACCTAGCCTCCCACATTATTTGGCATCTCATGTAATTGGTTGCCCCTCCACAAACTAAGGGCAGCGCCATCAAAAACCAAAAGAGAACCTGCAATTATTTTAATTTGGTTTAGATTTAATGATTCTGCATGGTCTTCCTTTCTCTTTAATTATTCCCTATATAAAACTGGGTATAATATGGTTTCCTAATGAGAGAACACTCTTCTGATGAGTAGATGCAGTTACTGCTATTAGTGTTTCACCAATTTTGATTTTTTCAGAGAGAATTGGAGGAGAAGCCTTATTTTGCAAGTCTGAAGAATACAATTATTTTCAAACAATCTGGAACTACAGTTTTCTATGTTCTTACATACAGCACTAGAAAAGTGTTGGTGTTGCACAGTACCACCTTCTTGTTTGCTTGACCAGCAAACAGAGTTTGGATGGTTAAAAAAACCCTTCAGGTTGATAAGCCATCTTCGTTGTTGGGTTAATAAAAGATGATTCTAAGATATGAATATGCTAATACTGGAACTTGTACCCTAGCTTTCTGTTTTCCTCTTGCTTATTCTTTCCCCTTATACATGGCTTCATTTATTTATGGGGTTTTCCTTACTGTTCTTTGGTTTCAGATGCGAGTGTCTCTCTGGTTTATGTGGTTTCCCCATGTGCGAGGCAGGCTCCATTCCCCAGATAGTCTCGCGTGGAGATGGAACACCTGGCAAGTGCTGTGATGTCTTTGAATGTGTCAATGGTACGTGACGCTTTCTCTTGCACCTGGCGAGGAGGATTTTTATCTGTCTGTGGGAGATGCTGGGCATTTGGTTATTTTTACCATGTTGTCAAAGTCTAAGAGAAATAATTTTCTTGAGGTTCATTCAGTAAGAGGGAACTGGAAGTTCTACTGAAGATACTTCAGTGGGAAACTGTCATTTGTAAGTTGCCATGGTTTTTTAATTTCTGAAGCACTATTCCCTGTGATCCAAGGAATTATAGTTTTAGCAAGGCTCCCTCGCTGCATGTTTTTTTTTTTTTTTAGGTACTCCTTTGCCAGCAGCAAACACTAGAGTCCTTTTAGAAGTGAAATTTTTGCTAAGCACTGCAACTGCTTGTTGCAGTACAGTAAACAAAAACATGCTGTTTAGACTATGGGGCTCGCTTTAAGAAACATATGCAAAGCAATTTTTAACATGAATGTACAACCTTTGGAAATTTTAAGTCAGTGTAAGAACAGACTGATATGCATTCTTTTCTTTCCTATGTAAATGTTTAGAAAATGTTTAAAAATCTTGACTTTGTTATGCAAGTGACTGTATCTCGGGACTGCTCTAGGCTATATATATAGAACTGCATATATGATGTATATGGTGAGTTGGGAAGAAACTTAGATATTTGACTGTTGTTAGATAGAAGGGGAAAAATGCTCTTGAAGGGTTGCATGCTCAGGTAATTTCTGAGCATGAAAAGTTATATGTTGGTGCAGTATTTACTAATTAATATTTATTCAGCAATATTTAATCTTTTTTAGTGGTGCATGTATCGTATGTTGGAAACAGCTTTTATTTACATTCTTCATTGCATATGCACATAAACATACATAGAGAGACAGACACTTTCCCCAGGAGAATGTTTGTGATATTTACATGTAGTAATATTTTAAATACTTAAATGCCAATTCAAAAATAATACTTAGTACATATAATGGGATGATATATATAAACATTAACTTCTTTCATATGAATAAAAGAATTTGCCTCAGGAAGAATCACAGGTTCTTTAGCTTTCAGATTAATTCTTTCACTATTTGGGAGAAAATTGTAGATACTGTAGAATTAAATGCAATTTACCTAATTTTTGTTTATATATTGCCTGTTATATGAAAGTAATATTAATCTTCCTTTGTTTCACATACGTGCCATTCTGCTAAAGTATCATTTCTGAATTTGATTTAACTGTGTGGCACACCTCAAGGCAATGTTTGATTAAGGATTTACTTTAGTACTTTGAGCAAGAAGTGCAAAGCCAATTTCTAATATGATATCTTTGCTGGTGTGAAACAGTCTCAAAGCTACAAACCACCTTGCTAACATTCCTGTTTCTCTTCAGTCTGCACATTATTTGTGGGTACTGCTATCAAAATTGTTGCGTTATATATATCAGGTCTTAGATGGAGTTGTTTAAATTACCCAATTTTTTTTGTCCTTAGTAATTTTCATATCCTATTTCCAAGGAGGACTTACATTCATTTTTCATAGTTAATAGTGAATTTGGACTGTCTTAGCACTGTTGCCCTGTGCATCATTGCCTTTATTGCTCACTGTAACTCACTCCAAAGGTTGAACCTGCTTTTGGATCAGGATTTCTTTTTGCCTCTCAGGCTTTCCCATTCCTAATCACCTTAGTAGCCTATGAAGACAGAGTAAATTGGAAGACAAAGTAGGAGTTTTGGAAGGGAAGTTGATGCCAGAGAGGGAAGCAGAAAGGCCAGATTAGAGGAAAACAAAGGTTTGTAGGAATAGATAATCTTTTGTCTTGTTTATGTCCTTAAAATTCAGTATATTACAGGCAAGTATGAAAATTACTTTTTTAATAAGTTCCTCTTTAAAAAAAATAATGCTGAGAAATGTGCTCAGAAAAGTTAAATACTTGTAGGTTTTGGGTTTGTTTTTTTTTTTTTAAAAAGGGCATTTGTCTTTATGCTACTTAATGCTACAATCAAATTTTAAAAGATAATGCTGTATGATGTGACTTGAAAGTGCTTTAAGTATATTTAGAAGTGAGAAACTTCCAGGTGCAATTATTAATGATGCTTCATTTTGGAAAGAGGAAACAGTTATAAGCCTGAAGATGATAAATACTTTTATCAATAAGCTGGGAGCAACTGTGAAACTCCTCATGAGGAGTTCTGTATGTGATGTTTGCATTGTGTGGCAGATCATTTGTAAAGAGGACAGAATAGTCATAGAACTTGATCCGTATTGCTTTATAATTTGCATTTTTTTCAAGTGCATTTTAGGATGGTTAGATGGTTCTTGTATCAGGGACAAATGTTGCAAGCCACAACTGTAAAACCTCTAAATGCCTAGAAAACTATTTATGTCAAGAACTTATTAAAGTCTAGTGCAATGACAACCTGGTAAAAAAAAAAAAATTCCTACCATTACTTCTGTCAGTTTAAAATGAAGAGGAGGGGGGGAATGTTGTTTATGAGACTGATAGTTGAACATAATATCTAGTTCTAGTTTTTTAGAAGGGTCTTGAAATACTAACAAGTGCAGAAGAGATATAGTAGATATCCGTGACAGATGGAGGAAATATCTTACAGTGATAGGCTTAGATCAATTTCTTCATTTAAAAAAATTGCTATCAAAGTAACAAGAGCCAAATCTGTAAGATCTAGGACATGCTGTTCTCAGCAGTGAGGGTGGTTAGCAGTTGACACAAACTGCTAGGAAGATGCTGAATTCCTTATCTTCATCCTTTCCAATTAGGATTAGATGCCTTTTTAAAGAGTGGGTTTTAATCAAATGCAAGTTAATGGGTTTATAGATGGTAAGTGAGGAAGTTGTGTAATCAGTGTTACCAACGAGTTCCATTAGTTACTTCTGTGTTTGAAAAACCTCTGAAAACAGGCAAGAGGATGAAATAAAAAGGACATGTGAACAGTCACATTAGTATACTTTTCCTGCTGTTATAACATCTATTTAATGTTAGAATTAAATAATTCTGTTGGGAGGGGGACAGAGAAAAAAGCTGTCAGGAATAATACTGATCATCTGAGTTACCTTAAAATAAAGGCATCCATTACAAATAAGTGTATGTAGACTGTAAAAAATCTGGTTTGTGTACTGTGGAGTAACTAAAATATGTATTTAGGTAACCCTAGTGATGTCCAGAGTGTTACAGCAGGCCAGCCTTCTGTAATATTTGTTGCAAGTATGTGCTAATGCGATAGATGCAGAGTTGCATGTTCAGAGGGCGTATGGGAGGCTGGGAGCATTGGCCAGTGCTGAGGGGGTAGTTAATGAATAAGGGCAGCAAAATAACGTGTCATGTAGAGACTCTACAGTATGTTCTCTTTGTTAGCATTTTTGGGACAGATCAGTCATTCTTTCACAAACGTTTTTCCTGGTTTTAATGTAAAACTGATTTAGAAGCTCTCTGATATATCTGTAGATTTTGTGTGGTTATCTGTTACCAGTGCACACTCTCTCAAACTAGCTTTTGGTTTATCTGTCTTAGAAAAGCATATTAATCTACGGTGAGAGAAACTTCTACAGTAGTCAGTCTTTGCACATCATGCAGCTGTTGTTGTTCCTGTTTGATTATAAATACAGCAGTAATATGCTAATCATTATTTTCATGCTTCAGATTTATATTGGGTGTGTCCTTAAGCTTCCCATCACATGTAATCTGCTGTTCCTTTGTTATATAATTACATAAACATTATTTATCACCAAAATAACATTTACTCCTGCTTGGAAATGGTCCTGATATTTTTATTTAATTGGAGCTTGTTGTTAAGTACCTACTGTCTGTGGCTGTACAGTCTTTGTATAGAAGAATATTTTCAATTCTTTCGAATTTTTTTTTTACATGAAATAATTTAGAAAGAGCTGAGAACAACTTTCTCATTGGTGTCAAGAAAAAAAATACATTACAGAGAGCTGATGTTCCTCATAGTTTTGTGTGACGTTTTAATTGTCATGAATCTATGCAGAGATCAGAGTATTGTACATAAAACTGTTACACTAATTTGAGACATAAATTTGTGCTTTTTAAAACACCTGTGATTAAAAGAATTCATCATTATGATTAATGCACAAATATTACTGTCGTTAGAATGCAGTTCTTGTCCCAAATGTCAGTCAGTTAAAAAGGTCAATTTTAAGGCATGTATTGATTCCTTTATTTTGAAGGAAAGCATCTTTGTAAATAAAATCATTCTGTAGTGTTTAAATGGTGGTAGGAATCAAGCCAAAGTTCTCTTTTGACGCAATGAAGTTCCTCTGTCATGATTTATGCAGTATGAGTAGTTGGGCCATCCCAGAGCATACCCTGCCTGGTCTTTGGATGTCAAAATGATAGCTCAGGCAACAGCGATGGCCGCAACTTTGTTGTTTCTTGCTCCGTTTCCCTTGTCAGAAGAAAGGTTTTTACTGTTTAATTTGTAAATTAAACCTTGCAACTCTCTGGAACTGTTGATAAACACTGATTTACAAAGCAATGGTGATATAATTTTGTCAGTCTTTGCTTAGAAGATGGCTGGCTGTTTCTCCTAATCTTACTTTCTTGATGACCCTCAGGGCAAGCCCCAGGTTGTGCATGTAAGAGAATTCTAGCCTGAGGGAGACAGAGAAGCATGAATTGCTAAATTTAAATCTCTGGCTGCCATAAAATAGTGTAACTAGAGGTATAGCTGATGTAGCTATATACATCACAGCTCGTTGCATATGAGAATCGGAGATAAGTATAGTGGTGTTCAGTAGTGAAGTTTTTGGGGAAGAGCTACATCCATAGTCAAATGTGCTTGTTCCTGAAATGTGTAAGTAAAATGTGTAAGAGAAAATAAGGCAATGTGAGAAATCTATAGCAAATACTTTCATCTTAATATTTGAAACTGAAAATGAGGTTGTGCCTATTGTGTGGTTCCAGTTCATTGCAACAGAGTGCACGTTTCAGTGAAAGTGAGAGTGTATATTGCTTTGTTTAAAGGTAGGTTATTCCAGGTGCCGTGCAGTTTCCCTGCTTGTA